CTGTTAGGAATACTACTTGGCTTTGGGGGTCTACCACATTCTTGATGTTTGCTGCATGTATTACAGCCTCCGTCTCTGCCCTGTAGTTTGTACAATGTCGCCCTGTTGGGACTGCCTCTGCTTGTCGTCGTCCATTTGGGAACTGTACGTACACTCCGGCTCCTCCTCTTTTCACAGCATCAGTGGCAGATCAGTCTGTATAGATCCTTATTCATGTTTCTCGTGGGTATCTTTGTTCAAGCATGGACAGGGTGAGGGACTTCTTGCTTAGGTCGCTGTGGTCATCTTTAGTGGTGAACATAGGAATGGACGTGTGTATAATTATGTTTGTGTTTTTCTTTTCCCATGATGGTGCCTCTGGGGTATGGTTCAGTATGTTAACTGTGGCTGGTAGATGGTCCCGTAGGGATCTTTGGATTTTTCTGCTTTCTTTGATGAAGTTGGATCTTTTAAGTCTTGTGGTGTTTGATCTGGCTGTTCTTGTGTGCACTATATGAATGATCCTCCATAGCTGTGGCCTTGGTGTACTGTATGAGAGCCTTGCATTCCCATCTCCTCTGCAGGGCCACAGAAGTTGTTTGTTCCATCTTTTCTATAGGCGTTGACCTCATTGCTCCAATGATTATTCGGAGAGTCTGGTTTTGCACTTTTTCCAGAGTGTATTTGTGAGTCCTGTGCTGCAGTCATCCATGCACTGGATCCGTACTCGAGATGGGGCCTGATTGCGCCTAGATAGACCTGTCTTAAGTGTTTTCTCATTTGCTCCCCACTGAGTTCCTGCTAGTTTTCTCATGATGTCCCTAAGAAGTGAACTTAAAAACCACTCATTGCAACTGTCTCACACTGTGTGGTGTGTTTTTATTTGTTGCCGCTGCCAGCTTGAATCATCATGTCACAATAACCATTCATGCAATTTTCAAAAGGAAGCAGCTTACCAAGTTTCCCTTACAAAATTATTTACCAACCTGTGCCCGTGTAGTCAGCATATAGAGTAAAATTACCGGTTTGTCAAAATTAGGACGAAAACTGGCACGTCGACTTTAAAGTTTTATATCTCCTATCTGCTTTGCCTTAGAGACAAACCGAAACCAGCTACAGGAAGCCCTGTGATTGGATGACCCCAGGAATGACCTGTTTCAGCTTGTTCTCATATTTGAGGCCCTTACTGGGTGCAAAAGTGACGCCCGATTTATTTACGTGTTCAGTCACATTTTTTTTGTTTTCTCATGGATTCGGGCAGTATTTTGACATTCGGTCATTTTCAATTATTATCACATTTGTTTCTTTGCAAGCTTAACTCTTATAGGCCGTAACGACACATACTGTGTTGTTTCCGCCAACCGCCATCAGCCGGGACGACACATACTGTGTTGTTTTTATTTCCTTATTCAAAGACGATGATGAAACCGATACTAGTTTTCTCCAATGGGTTTAGCGTGGGTTAAAGGTCACATCAACCGTTTGTAAAGAAATAGCGGGGCTTTTCAATTGTTTACAGTGCGTTGATGCGAGTTTTGAGCTTTGTTTTGCATTGGGGTTCGTGTGTCGTCTCTGAAATTTTCACTATACCGAAGAATAAGCCTCTGCGTCGTCAGGTAAACGCTTGGTAAGGCACACTTCTGAGAAAGCAAGTGAATTACTGAGAGAACTTATCGATAACACAGATTTAGGAGTAGAAAGTGGTGAATCTGACTTTGTCACGGAAAGAAAGAATTTTTTTCTTTCATTTTTCTCTTTTTTTGATTTCGTAATGTTATGTAACTCTTCAAAACTAACACATTTTCCTTTGAATTTCAATATTTTTATACTGATCTTATTCTACGTTCAATGCCCTTTACAATGATGTATAATATGTGTACATTACTAACAGGGAAACACACTAAAAACACAAAAGAAAGTAACATATGTGATTTCCCTTGGTCAGCCATGATTTAATTCCGGTGAATCCAGGGTAAATAATGCCGGTCTATAAGAGTTAATAACATGATTTTTAATGCTTGTTATCAACACTTGAACACAATGATAGTTTGTCTAAAGTGGTTTTCACCATTTATAGCTATTTTAATGAGTATGTATCTGACCCACTCTACCACGTGGTATCTGACTCTACTACACTGGCATCTGGCTCACTCAACTACACTGGTTTCTGACTCTGCTACACTGACTGACTGTATTACACACTGGTATCTGACTCTACTACACTGGTGTCTGACTGAGCTAATATATGCTGTATATGACTCTACTATTATTTAAATTAGGCACAAATTCTTGATTCTTTATTGTATAACCATCTAATCTTATGTGCCCAAAGGATGAGAAACTACGGATTTTATGTTACAATCCGGGCACCCCCCCTTTTGGGCAAAAACGGCGAGACTGAACTGCAAATTCTCTTTCATCCTTGATAGGGTCTCATATGCAAATAACTCTCCAGCTTTCAGAGTTTACCAAAACGTAGAATCTTCTAGGCTACAGGCCCCTTCATCCACAACCAAAGTTAACTCTTCCGGGGGAAAGAGCTTCACGCTGTTTTGCTCAGTTGATGAAGAAAAAGCTGTCTTAGTCTTAAGGACTATTTTTAGCAAAATATCACCGTAACTGTTGTTTCAACGAAAGTAATGGAGGTTGCTTTAGGTTTGTGTGCCACTCTTTTGGGGCTAGATTTAAAAACAAAGTTTTAAACGATTTTTTTGTACTCCAGTGCCCAACAGCTAAAAAAAACATGCTGCCCGACCCGGTACGATTACTCTAGATCTCTATATATATTATTATAGGCCTAGATCTATAGGATTATTCGTTCAGCTGGAACAAAGTTCAAAACCAAAGAAAAAATTGTCTTCAAGCAAAAATGTGATGTGTTTATCGTTGGTGCCGGAGCCAGTCAACTTGACTTAGACTTAAGGCTGATTGCGTGTTGAAGGCCTACTTTACACAAGGTGCCCGTTGGGGGATCAGGTCAGGTCGGGTCGGTTTGCTAGCCAGATTGAGGGCGCAAAGCGTGTGGCGACTATAGCGCCTGACTCGTAACCTTGGACCTTACTTTTGCATTCAGGCGACGAGTCGGGTGATTGACCCGACCCGACCCAATCCGCAAGGGGCACCTGGTATTAGATTTACCCTACTTTTACACCAGAGACAAAAAAACTAGAATCTAGATCTAGATCTATATCTAGCCTGTGAAATTAACCTTTACTTTTGTTGTGTTGTTCCTTCGGCCTCTAGACTCTAGATTCTAGATCTACATGATCAGTTAGATCAGGAATCATGAAGAGCAAGAAAATTGTAACCATGAACATAGCATTAAACTGCATTTTGGTGATGTTGAAGAGCGCATCTTTGGAAGAGCTTTGGGAGGGTGTAAAAATCGAAAATTCTCAAAATTTACATTTCAATGGCAATGGATTGCTGTCATTGCTTGCGACAGCGACGTATGTTTTTGTTTCTATTTCTAGATTAGTAGATCTAGAATCTAGATTAAATATACTCACCTTTTCAGCTTATTGGTAACTGCTTTGTATTTTGTGAGAACATCACTGTCTTTCTCCATAACCGAATGCAATTACAGAATAGATTCTAATCAAAATTTCAATTGAGATTATCCGTTCTCTAGGCAATGACAATAAAAATATTAGAATGTAGATCTTGTGGTGACTGCTAGGCCAGCCTATTGCGGATGGGAGAGAACTCAGGAATCCTCCCTCACTCCGGCCTAGCCTAGGCCTACTCTCAATAAGACAAGACCCGACCTGGAATGAATGTGATTTTCAATGTGGAAGAGCGGATCCCCCTTGATTATTGTCGCAAGCACAGAATTCTACAAGTGTAGAATTCTGTGGTCGCAAGTCAAGGAGTTTAGAACTAATTTTAATCTCCTTGGGTGCCGCCCACAGAGCATCCTCCATTACTTTTAATCTCCTTGTCGCAAGTACAAGTTCCTGCCCAATCGGAAACTGGAAACCCTTTCCCCGCCAACCAGTCGTACCATTGTCCAGCCCGAGTACTCATGTTCAGACAAAGTACCACTTGTGCTATGGCTTTGAGAGTGTAAAACGAAAAAATCCCCTTTCTGTAGCAAGTATATGACTGTACTACATCTACCTGTATTTGCAATGCGTTGCAAAACTAGATGTAGTCTAATTAATTACTATGAGACCATAACACTGAAACCCTTAAATAACGACTTCTGGTTGTTTAGTTGTTTTTTTTTTACTGTTTGACTAGCGTACATGTTTCTCCAGAAAAGGTACCAAAAAAAGCCAAAACTTCAAAGTGTTAGGCCTTGGCCTACACTAGCCTACACACAGAATTGCCTACAGTACAAGAAATAGCCTTGGCTTCAACCACAATGTAATTGTTTCTTCAGGCTTCATTGCCTTCAGGTCTGCTCTAGTCTTCTATTTCTACAAAGTGTGGCTAAGATAGATCTAGTGGTTGTTCCTCTCTCACTGTCTCTCCCTAACCTCCTAATAATTAATTAATGAAAGTGGCTATTCTCACCCGCCCGGAAGTTCTCGCAAGATCAACTCCTCCCCTCCCCTCTTCTCTCTCTGTCTGTCTCTTTCTGAATACTGTCTATCGGTGTTGACGATCAAATTGACCAAAACAAAGTTAAAAAATGATGTTAAAACACAAAAGTAAATAAATTTGGTTGTCTACAAAGATGCTACGGCTATTTAACTTTTCGAATCGAGCCGAACTACGCGGGTCGCCATTTTGTTTTGCCCGGAAATTCTCGCGCTACTCCTCTCTCTCTTTCTCTCATTCTCCACTGCCCACAGACAAAATTGTACGCTTTTAGTAGGCTACAATTGTAATGGAACGTTTGTTCACGGCACAGAATTCTACAATTTTTCTGTTATCACAGTGTAGAATTCTGTAGTTTAGGGTGAATGCAAAATTTGGTGAACGCGCACCGGGTGAGAATAGCCACAAGACTCGCCTGCACTATTCTCACTCCGGGTGAGAATAGAGGTGGCCAATAATTATACGAAGTGACAATATTTCTCCGAACATTCTGAGAAATAGTGCCGATCTTTATTTCTCTGAACGGTTTCCGGCCTATTTTTATAATTTATTGCGAGAGTTCGGCGCTAACTTTCATTCTGCCTGTGGTCTGGGAAGGAACACCGCATGGCAAGCCCGCCTACTACAGACAACCTTCAGTAACACCCCCCACATACCCACCACCATCATGCACATGTTCATACACAAACTTATACACACACTAACTAAACATGATCAGTGGACAACTTTTGAAAGTATGACGAGCTGAGCTGTAGATGGAGAGACAGTGTGAGTGACTGAGCAGGTGAAAGGAAGAATGTACGAGTGTCACAGGCGACAGCAACTACAAAACTACAAGGCGACGACATCGACCCCCCCTAGCCTGGTCCAGAGCGCACGAACGAAAGGAATGCGGCTATGGCAGGTTTTTGCTAATATTATTGTCCATGGTTCGTTGGGTGCAAGGGAATGAGTGAGATTTTCTTTGTGTGTGCCTGGAGGGAGGTGGTGGGGTGTGAAAGTCATGCGGACGGGGATGAGCCGCGGGAGAGAACACGGGAATTGAATGAATGAGTCAAAGTGAAAGAAAGGAACGACTCATGAGCCCTGGAGTGAATGGATCCTGTGTTTTTATTTTTGTATACTTGAACTGTTACTGAATAAAGGCTGAAATAAAGCCCGAAAAACAAACACACACACGCTCCTCACTCTCCACTTACACACTTACTACCACACACAGACACACTCACACACGCACATGCATACACACACACACACTCACACAGGAGCAAATTTTTAGGTCTATATCTACATACATGTATTTCAATTTTCAAGAGCTAGTCTAGAGATTTTTAGATGAGTGTAAAAACGCGAAAAAGAAAGGTTTCACGACCGAATGAAATCAAAATTAAAACAGCCCATAAACAACCACAAAAATAAAAAATAAGGGCGTGAGTCCCCCTGTCCGAAGAAGATTGGCTGTGCGCAATTTTAAAACAAAGTACAGGATATTAGTATTACATGTAAATTATGGAATCACACACATTAAGGGGCCTGCTAGAGTCAGTACACGTAGATCTAATTGGTTTTGGTGGAACGAACGCTCTAACATAACACATTTAAATCTGTATACATGTATATATTTAGAATCTAATGAAAGTAGGAACATCAAATTAAATGACGTTACACTATACAACATCCCTTTCCCCCCCCCCCCCCCCCCCCAAAAAAAAATGATAGAAAAACAACACATCAGAACAATAACAAGAGAAAGAAAAAAATACACACTAACAAAATAAAACACCACAAAGAGGGAAAAATAAAAGTAACTGTAACGTATTCAACAAATCAACGTGGTGACAACAAGTGAGAAAGAGACGAAGTGAAGCTAGGGGAACTTTCTTTCAAAAGTTAAGAGGTTCAATTTCTTTCTTTTTATATATTTTTTAAAATTTGACTTTTATTCCCCGATTCGGGGACCGAAAAATGCCAAAAAATCGAGCCACGATTGATTGGTCGCGGCCGCGACAAACGCAGATGCTAGTTCTATGTGACGTTATCAATAACCCTCCGTAGATCTAGATCTAGATCTAGACAGCACCCGAGTGAACACAACACATTTTAGGTTTAAGAGCAGCACCCTTCATAGGCAACACGTCATATCTGTAGCGAAAAACCATTTGGAACTGTAGCATTTCTTTATATACGAATATTTACTGCGGACATTTTTTGGACCGATTGAACCATATTGTATACAAACAATCTTTGGTAGGCCTATACTATAATTATAGATCTATATAATATCCGAAATTTGCGGGAAAGGATGTGATTTCAGAGTGTTCGGAGAAATAGTGCCCAGCTTTATTTTCCCGAACGTTCGGAGAAATAGTGCCTAGCTTTATTTTCCCGAACGTTCGGAGAAATATTGCCGGCCATAATTATAATATGATTCTTTTCTTGTCAATTAATTAGAATTAGATCTAGATCTAATCTTGGCTAGATCTAGATTTCTTGACTAAACTAGCTTGTTTAGCCTCAGCCTCAGGCTCCGGCATTCAATTGATATATGGCTGTGCTGGGAATAGTCTAGTCCTTGCACTAACCTTGTAATGCTGATTTCAAGCGAGGAAGCTACGGGAATACAGTAGAACATGGCTATATAGACATGCGATTAAACGTAGAAAGACACAAACTATTTTTAGGTACTGCGCCCATCTTGTTTGACGTCACACCAGGATACCCGTCAGATCACGTGACTACATCTAAGTATAGCCAACGAAATGCACTGGGAGCTGGATAGACAATCATGGCATGAATGATGAAATCTAACAAGCTTACATTACATTGAATTGTATTGTCAGGGCAGGGTGGTGTCGCTGTCTCAAAATGAGCAATTTGTTGATAGTTTACTGTAAGTCATTTATTTTAGTGATCCTGTGTTTGTGCCCCAAAGAGCGGTTTCAGACCCAAACAGAAAGTTTTTTGGTTGCTAGCCTGTAGAAATGCCACGCAAAGTTTCGATGAGCTATAATTTTTTTAACGCAGACAGACAAAAGTGAGTTAGGTATAATTGTGACAAGGCCCTCTATCATACTACCACTAATGTAATATTACGTGTGACAGTTCAAGGTAAATCCCCCCCCCCCCCCTGGATGTCTAGAGCAGAGTTAATTCATGTGGAGACCTTTACTTTTGTTTCGACCCCATCAGTTCATATACAGTGCAAGTGCAATTCTTCATCCACCCATGTTTGATCACTTTTCTTCACCCAACAGTATCACTGCCAACCAACAAATTGACCCCTGTCTACTCTTTCTGTTCAGGGAATTTGAAAATCGGGCACTTCACAAGAAAAGAATATCAGAGTTATTAGTGATAATTCAGCTCTGATTGTGAAACAAGAGTTTCACACACTCATAATTTTTTTTCTCCTCAAAATAATGTTTTTTTCTTGTTCACCTTTTCTTTATCGTTATTGCCTTTCTTTATATTCCCTCACTAGATCTCAGGGGTAGTGGACTGCTGGTTCTTCAACCTGCAGTGCAACTAATTTTTACATAAATGTGACTTTTTTTTACCTATTTCGTAGGGCCCCTTGCCATCAGGCAGCCACATTCCGATTTCAAAGATACTCTCTTTATACAGTGGAAACCATATAACAGGCCAGGTAATAACAGGGATCCGGTAATATCAGGGATTTTTTAAATCCCTGATTTTTCCTTCTTTTTGTCTCTATTAAAAGTTATCGGCAATAACAGGGCCCCATCAGAGCCCAACCGGTTATAGCAGGGACAAAGGCTTGTTAACAATGTGTAAAAAGTAGGCCCTAAGAGAGAGAGAGAGAGAGTAACGCAGTGATGGAGCAAGCCCATGTAAGCCATGCCACTGCAAGCACACGCAGCTTGTGAAGCGAGAGAGGGCTGCGGTGTGCTGCAGACCTCGATCTAGCCCGAAACCTAGCAACACGCACGCGTAATGTGTCTACTGTCACCAACGATGTCGAGCGCAAGAGACGATGCCTTTCAATTGACAAAAAAATATGAAATAATCCAGGCTGTTGACAAAAAGCAAGCTCCACTGGCAGAGATTTGTCGTCAGTTCGACATTCCACAAGGGTCGATTCACACCATTATCAAGGATAGAGAGAAGATAGTGGCAGCATACTCCAATGGAAAATTTCCTCTGAATCGAAAGAAGATGAGACTACCTGATGCAGATGCTGTGGACCAAGCTCTTCTGATGTGGTTTAAGGAGGCACTGAGAAAGTTGGTGCCAAAACCCCTGTTCGTGGGTACTTGTGGCAAAGGAAACTACCAATGAATAAGTACAGCTGGATTAGTCCACAAATGCTTACTTTCCTTGCATTTCTGATTTAACAGGGATCAGATATAACAGGACATTTTCTCTACTCCCACCATCCGTGTTATATCAGGTTTCCACTGTATGTTTTTAAATACCAGCAGTTTAATAGAGTATTTTCAGTTTTGGTAGGAATTGATTTTGAATTTTGACTGTGTGGTAGCCAAATATTACTCTTTCTTATTTTAGGACCATTTTAGTAAAGGATCTTTATTAATGTGTGCTGCTACTTACACACAGGTCCTCAGAGATTTTTCACCCAAAAAGGTTAAGTGTGTATGATCTTGCCTACCCTAAGATCAGGGGTATGACTGAAAGACAGCGGTAAGATAGAGATTGGAGTAGCAGTAGAAAGAGTCATGAGTAAAGGAGAAAGTTGAGATGAAGAACATGACAAGAGAACAGGAAAGGGGGTGAAAGGAGAAAATTTTGGAGAATAAAATATTTCCATTGCTGTCAGCTTTTGAAACCAGGATCTTTTGAATTTAGTGGCCGGTGGCCAACTTCATACCTCTAGACAACGAGAGCCCCTTCTTTTACGTATTATAAAACCATTTTTCTTCTTTCTTTCACAGGATCATCTTTGGAGAGTATAACCGTTATGTAAAATATGAGTGTTACATCCATCAAGGAGTTCACTTTTCGTGACCTTGCAACCTCTGAAAGTTTGTCTGTGAGAATACCTGAGGTAAAAAAGCTTATTGGTATGGAGAAAATTTCTTGGCCATTTATGTTGAGCAATTGAGCTGGGTCTCACTTTTTCAAACGGTTTGGCAAAAAGGTGTTATTTTTTCCCCTTTATGTTCAGAGAGACACAAATGCATGATTGAAATAAAGCCTGCTAGTGTTTCATTTGAAATTTCTTAAGGAACAGAGTGTACAGTAAACCCTCGCATTCACTGTCATCAGACTCCACAATACTTCTGAAGGAGAAGGAGTCTTCAGGTTTTGTTTTATGAACTCGCATTATGTGAACCCTGACATAAACTGTATGATGAACTCGCATTATGTGAACCCTGACATAAACTGTATGATATATATATATATATGATAAATTTGTTGGATACAAAGTTCACTGTACTTTCTAAAGAAGCAGGAAATGAAAAGATGGCTGAAACACTTGGTATTTTTAAAGAAAATGATGAATTTAATTTAGCTGGATAAGAATAAAACAAACAAAAAATACTGTCGAACCTGCTCTAAAAGGCCACCTGTACTATTCAATCACTTGTACAAACAGCCACTACCCATTTCCCTCCTTTTGTGTGTTTTTTACCTTATAATGACTCTGACCAAAATGTCCACCTGTCAAAGATAGCCACTTTTCACCTCGACAATGGGTGGGTGTCTTATACAATTTCGACTGTACTGTACATATTCATGTTTGATAGTCACAGACTGTGCTTTACTCAATTCCGTGAGATTTTTTAAAGTCTGTGCCTGTATTTGTATGTCTTTGTTTGAAGTTATTTAAATTGTTTAAAATCTTTGTATACTTTGAAGAGCTGAAGAACTCTTCAAAAATTTGGTTTTCCAGTTGTGTTTTCTATCTCTGTATAATTTAAATTTGCTGATGCTCTCTTGTATGCAGGTGGTTGATGCTTCCTATGGGCTATACGTGTGGCCATCTGCCCCTGTCCTGGCACAGTACACCTGGCTCCACAGACACAAAGTAAGAGGCAAGTCTGTTCTGGAGGTGAGTTGCGGTACAGTAGTCTCCACGTAAACGCCCGGTGCTCGGGAGGGCTCCTTAGCTTTCTTAATACGGAGAGTGCATTTACATGAACCTTTGCAAAGGGAGGAAGGGACACAGTCATCTCAATTCCTTATTACTCTAGTGGTCTCCCTTGGAGGGAGGGGGTCATTTTGACCGATAATGTGACGATTCGCGACTGTTTTGTGAAGGATTCCCCGACTGGGGTTAAGAATAGAAAGGAGTTGAAAGGGAGGAGGGGGTGAGAAAGACAGACTCGATGTAGCCTAATGAATGCAGTATAAAATGTTGGGAACACCCCCTCATGCTGAACAAAGAGAGTCCGCTCTTGGACTGTTTTGTATTGCATTTTCCTCAAGCAGGTGTTCCTGGATCATGGTTGCCCTGTTGTATGGACATGTCGTCGCCTCAGAACTATTTAGTCCAAAGTGCACTCTTTACTTAAGTACGCTTTGGACAAAATAGTTCTGAAGCGATGATGTCTCTGACTGGCCTGTCTTTCATTTCCTGTACATATATTTAATATATGTATATTCATCCCATTGTGAACTGTCCTGATTTTAAAAAAGTATGACCTGTTCCCATCTGTCAAGCTAGTGATGCAGCAGCTGCCAAAGTCACTTGGACTGAAACTTAATACAGTAGTCTCCGCCTAAACGCACGGTGCTCGGGAGGGCTCTTCAGCGTGTGTTTATACGGAGCGTGCGTTAACATGAACCTTTGCAAAGGGAGGAAGGGACGCAGTCATTTCATTGCTTTGATATTCTAATTCTAGTGACCTCCCTTTGGGGTGAGGGTCAATTTTTGCCGATAATGTGACGACACGTGACTGTATTGTGAAGGATTCCCCGACTGCGTTATGACATTATGACTACAAAGGTGTTGAATGGAGGGGGGGGGGGTAGAAAGACAGCCCCAATGTAAATTAATGTAATGAATATGCACTATAAAACGTCAAGAGGAAACTGTTGGAGATAGTCATAGATCTAGTCATAGAGATGACGGCACGGCCACGTGGCTTTCCAAGCAACCACCCCCTGACCGTAAATTCACGGACGACATCAGAATCATAGATCTCTACATTCAGAGAAACATTTCTCTTCTGATTCGTTGAACAAGTACGTTATAAGAATACATATAAGTTCTTCGAGCGCAACTGATTAGGCTTACTTGGCTAATCTTAAACCCCATTGAGGCCTATCTAGTGTTTTACTGCATTCACGCGTGTTGTGCGTCAGGCCTAGGTTTAACTAAACATTACACGCAGTCACCCAAACACCAGTCAGAAACCTTCTCTCAAAGATGCATTTCCAGTGACCAATCAAAAAACAGTTCAATCCCCCAACCGCGCTCCCCCCCCCACTCCCCGACCAGCCCTAGACCGAGAACCAGACCTATGTCTCTCTGGAAAGTTGAGTGTGAAAACGTCCATCACTCTCTTAGTCTTTGTTCCGCGTGAGGGGCACTCTCACCCAGTTTTCTTGGCTTGTCTATGCAAGCTGTGCAGGTTTTAGTGAAAATTTCCCCTTCTCAAGCTTAACCTGTCGGCGTGTTTCGCGGATCGGAGCGTGCGTTTAGAGAGAGTGACCGTGCGTTTGTACGTCTAAATTATATAGTAAAAAACCCATCAGATGATGAAAGCGTGCGTTTGAGCGGAGTGTGCTTTTGTATGGTGTGCGTTAAGGCGGAGACTACTGTAATTGTCTTCTCATCATAAAAGAAGATTTTTTTAAAATCCATCTGTTCAGCTGTCCTGTGTCCTATACCAACCTGTCAACATTTTTTCTACTTTTGAATCCACATTAAGCCCAAATCTGTAGAAGGGTCGGGGTAGTCTGAGTGGTGAGGTCTGTCATGGTAGTCCCCTGGGTATGGACATTTTTTCCCCTCAAATTTGGAAGACCAATAAATACAGAGAGAGCATCTATGAAAATAGGAACTTTCATTTGGTTCTGCGCACACTGTCTGCTATCTTCTTTACTGCTGTCCCAGTTGTCTCTCCCTCTACCCTAAAGTTGGTAGAGTACTTGCCTGTTGCTACTTTTAACTGGGCTGCCTCCTTGATTTTCCATGCGACATCAGTAACAGACCCACCAGTGTAAGCTTCTGTTAGGGTAGTTGGAGCTGATGATTTCAAGGGTAAGCACCATAAATAACCTCTCTTTGTCAGTTTGTGAGGCCTCTGCATGTATGCTTGATGCCTCAAGTCTCAGGGTGAATTTCAGGGTACTCCTTCCATTGGAATTTCTGTAATGACTGGAGGGATTGCTTTTCTGTTGCTGTCCAACTACTCTGCATGTCTATCAAAATTAACCCTTCTTCTCTGATACGGTAAGGCTTGGTCTGCTCTGGAGAGTTGCTTTTAGTGGTTGGTTTACGCATTTGTTCATTGTATGGTCCTTTTATCTCTTAAATTTTTGGCCTGTGTTGTGATCTTACTGTCCCTTCTATCTTCCAAGAGTGGGAATCCTCTGAAGCTTTCAAGAGTGTATAGGTGTAACGGGCATAGCTCTGGTCATTCTTAATGTCTGACTTAGCTCTCTTGTCTGCTTTGTCACTTTTGATCTGGTTTCTGTTGAGTTTGCTGCCATTCCAAATTCGATAAACATTCTGAACATGTTGTTTTTTTCTGTCATAAAGTACTACAAGTTAGAGTGGGGCGAGCGGACGGACGGGTTCGTTACTCGTGGACTCAGTCAGAGTGAGCGGGTAACGGACGGCCATGAGAGCGAACAGCAAACCTCAAGACAGTTCGGTTTTTTTGGGTCCGCTCCACAATTTGACTCTCTCAGCGAGCGGACTGCGGACCTCAAGCCTCAAGTCAGTTCGTTTTTTGGGTCCGCTCCACAATTTTATTCACTGGGCGGGCAGGCAAACGGACGAACTCTAGAAGACGAGATACTCGACGCGAGGTTAGGCCCATGGTCTATTGTTTGTTAATTAGGCCTAATGTTTCAAACCACTAGTATAGGGCGCTAATCTGTGGCAACCGGGTGTGTTCACTTTACTCTGTGCTTATTTTGTTGATCAATTTTTGTATAACAGCATGGGCCGGGAACACAAGACAACAAGATAAAGAAAAATTAAATCGGCTAATACAGAAAGCATGTAAAATTTCAACATCTTCATTCCTCTACTTGGATGAATTGTACATAACAGCTTGCACTAAGAAAATTAATTCCATCTTTTTAGACAACAAACATCCCTTGTTCCCTCAAATAAAAACATCAGTCAGAAGTAAAAGACCTAGGCTTCTGATCTGTAACAAAGAAAGATACAGAAGGTCATTTTTACCATCATCTATCAAAATGCTTCCATCTTAACCATCTTGATAAGTATACTTACGACCTTAGAGCATGCATCAAAATAACATTGAGTGTGTATCTAGCTTACGATTATTATTGTTTATATTGCTGCTCATTTATATTATGCATGTGATTGTAAGCCTACTTGTGTGTGCATATGTGTGTGTGTGTGTGTGTGTGTTTGTGTGTGTGTGTGTGTACACATGGTGGAACACCAAACCAATGTGCCAGGATCTGGACAATAAAGATGTATCTTATCTTATCTTAGTAGCGGTGCCAAAGGGAGTAAGAGAGGCTGGTGACGTGGTACTTTGTGTATAACCTTTCACCTCATGCGTGGGGCACACTGTGTACGTTCCATTCCAATTATCGCAAAGGCGGGGGGGGGGGGGGGGGGGGGAGAGAATTTCCGCCATAAACGCCTAGCTACAATGTGAGGCAGAAGGGTGACTTTTTAAATTATTATTTTTGGGGGGGCGGGGGGTTGTAAGTTGTATGCAATGGAAGGGCTCGCTCCCGTCCGTCTGTCCGCCCACTCGAATGCATGGAGTCTCTCGGTCTGCCCGTCCGCTCGATTGCGGGTAGTGTCAGCAAGTAGTTCATTACTCGCGGACGCTAATTTTGCAAGCCCGACCCAACCCTACTACAAGTACAATAACTTAGGGTGTATGAAATTTTAAATTCAACAAAGTTTTATTTAAAAAAACAAAACAAAAGTAAAACATTGTCAATTTCAAGTTCTCAAGAACCTTGACCTTCTTTGTTTTTTGTGTTTTTTTGGTGTTTTTTTCTGTTTTGGGTTTTGGGGGGTTTTTTGTAAATGTTTAACGGCGCTCACAACTGCATAAGGTCATTTGAGTGCGCAGAACACATTAAGTATTAAGCATTTTCAGTATGGTTGGAGTTAATTTTGAATTTTGCCAGGGTGGTGGCCAAAGCCTTCTCTTATCGATTTTAGGACCACCAAGGGTTTAAATGTGCGCAACTTGCACACTGGACCTCCGAGATTTTTTTGTGCCCTTATCCGAGAAGGCTAAGTGTCAGATATTACCTACCCTAAGATCAGGGGTGTGACTGAAAGACAGCAGTAAGAAGGAGCCAGTTAGTAGCAGTAGAAAGGCTGCAGAAAGAGTCAGGAGCCCAGAGGGGGGGGGGGGGGGGCAGAAAATTTTCCATTGCTGCAGAATTCGAACCCGAGACGTATTATTATTTGTTAAAGGAAAGATGAACACTGTACCTCTAGACCACGAGAGCTCCCGACTTTCTTAGTGACAAAGGGAAAAAATGTTGTATAAAATGTCATGTCTGTAGCATCAATTGGGCCTCATGTATGTATACAGCAGTCTGATTAAACAAAAATCTGCAGGACCACCCGATATTCTTCGGTTTAGCGATGTTTTCAATATCCGTGTACAGTTTAAGGAGACGCCACTGTATAGTTGTATTGTAGTTGTTTATATTATATTTCTACAAATCCTATGTCCTTGCAAATGAACAAAACTGATGGATAGTATATGTTGTCTTGGGCAGACTTTATTACCTGTGTCCTCATTTCTCAAATCATAAAAATCATTTTTCGTCTAGATTGGAGCTGGCACTGGCCTGCCGGGGATTGTAGCAGCTAAATGCGGTGCACGTGTCACGCTGAGTGACTCAGTAGCTCTTCCACAGTGCAGGGACAGGTGCAGATCAAGTGCAGAAGCAAATGGCTTGTCAGATGTTTCTGTGATGGGTATTACGTGGGGATTTATCTCCCCTGACCTTATGGACCTCCCGAGCCTGGACCTCATCTTGGCCTCCGACTGCTTTTATGATACTAAAGGTGAAGATGACAGGGACATTTGTTTCTCAAACAGCTTCTTTGTGATCATTTGTGTTGTGTTATTGTTCGGGTGTGACAATTTTTATTTTATGATACCATTTGTGTGTTGGACTTTTTGTTATGGGTGTTGGCAAGTGCTCTTGTATGGTTTGCTCCTTTTTTCCGGTCAAATATTTATCGTCCTTATCTCTACTTCTTTTTTGTGTTTGTTACTCTCTCATAACACCTCTAATCTTTGGCACTTAAATGACCAAATTGTGTTGCAAGTGCCTTAACGCTCATTCTCAGAACAAAATACTTTTTCGGTGCAGGCACTTTCTGCTACTTTACTACCCTTCCATTGTCTCTGCCCATCATGATTTTGTCACAGCACAGTGTGATCATTTTCATGTCAACATGCTTCTCATTCACTATAACACACAAACAGTACTGTCTCTGTCTCATTTTTTTTATTTAACTATTTGTGTATTGTTGTTTGTGTGTGACAGTTCTATGGTGCTGTTATGTGTAAGCATTTTAAATGTAATAGATTCTGCCTCAAGTGTAATAGTTTTTTGGTAAAATTTATGTGCATCAATCAGTGTGTTTTAGTTTATGTTTGTCGTTTGTATGTGACTGTTCCCTGTATAAAGTATAAGTTTGACAGGTTGTTTTTGGTAATATCAGTGTGACATCTATATTTTTATAGTTTTTGTGGGGCTGTTTGTGTGTTACATATTCCCTGTGGTTCTTTGTGGATTAAAGTTAGAATATATGACAATTTAGATGTAGTGATGTATACCATTTTTTGAGTAGCAATTTATGTTATTGTTTGTTGAAATATATGACATGGGTGCCCTTTAAGTTTAATTCACATTCGACAGGTCTGGACATGTAGCGCCTCTGTAGCCATATTTGGCTCACAATAAAAAGATCATGGCTTGCACCAGTCTGATATTAATTTGTTGCTTCAACAGATTTTGAAGATGTAGTGATGACTCTGTCTTGCCTATTGCATCAGAACCCACATGCTGAGGTGTGGTGTGCGTACCAAGTGAGAAGGTAAGCATCTACCAGTCAGCGTATGATGGGCTTAACACCTCACTACCTTAGAATTACAAAGTTCTATCTGCTCAGTACCTAGTTTTGAGAAATTTAACATTAAAAATTTTGAGTTTCACAACATGTCGAGCTTTTTTTAAAGCAGTTCTTGAAACATCTTGGTAACGGCTCCGAATAATCTTACAATTTTGATAGAGCAGGAAGAACATTTGGATTCCTGACTTCGTGGTCTTAGTAACTCAAAATAGCCAAAAATGTCAGATAGAACTTTGTAATTCTGAGCTAGCAACCGAACCTGTGTATAGCATAGCATGCCTGCATATGCACTGTATAAAATATTTTATTTGTTTTAAAGCTCTGTACCACTACCAGTACAGTAGGATTTTCCATTAATCCTGACCTAGTTTGTACATCTTCAACTATTCAGCTAAAGAACTGTTCATGAACAACATTGACTTATAACTTATAGTCCAAATGTCTGAACTGTAGTCTTGCAAAATAATGAGCACTGTTTGGATTCCCCTTTACAAAAGCATTATGACCTCTTTAGCATAATTTTTTATATGGACTGTGATTTGACTGATTGTTTCACCCGCCCTCCCCCCCTCAACACATGTTAGATGATTAATAGGTTGACTGCTGTCAACACTGCGTGAGACACTCTTTTCCAGGAAAAAGACAGAAATAATCTACAGAATAGAGAGGAATTCTCATCTTTTGCATGCAGGGGTAAAGAGCATAACCATTTACCTGACATTGGTATATTTGAATCAATGGGAAAGTCCCCAAGTTTTCAGACAAATGGGGCCCCTCTTATCAAGTAATTATGTTTGTGATTATCGTCATTAAGTGCCTGATCTGGGACAGATATTGGCTATCTTGATTCTCCATTCATTCGTTTGCTTGGATGTTCTCAAAAAAGCAATGTTATCCAGATCTTTCCTCGTTACCCATCTGTTTAGGTTCTCCAAGTAGGTTTCTCTGCTGAGTCTACCGCTGCCTCATTTGTTTTAAGTTACATAATACTGTTACACATCTCTGCTACCAGATACCTGTGTTTCTTTCAGTGACCATAAAGACTTTACTCGTGCATATTTTTCTCCCTCAGCCCATCCAAAACCATAGAGCTTCTCTTGTCCAAGTGGAAGCTACGGGGAGAGCAAGTGCCTTTACCAGATATGACCACCGTCCAGTGCTCTGTGACTTCCCATGCCCAACAGGAAGTGCTTCTGTTTGCGTTGCGCTTGAATACAGCAGCTGCCCTTGAAGACGCCCTCTCCTGAGTCTGATGACAGGATTTTGGAAAGTCAAAGTAACGTTGAAGTTAACAGTTATGTGTTCCTCTGTGGCTGAAAGCTAATACAGCTTCACGGGAACTCCTTCGTTTGCCAGTCAATATATTTTAGATCATTTGACCCCCAAAGGGTCTGTCCTTTGCACACTCAGTTCCTGCTGAAGGTCAAGAACTCTTTTGCCGCTGGGTCACCTGAAAATAATAACCTTTGCTGAGCCCTTAGTGAGGAGGTGAGAAACTGCTTGTCATTGAATCAGGGCCGCCAAGTTAGGAAAAATTACTCGAGGGACACATCGGACTTCTCAGGGCTACATGACTTATAAGACTTAACCCCCC